AAATGCGGAGTTTTGCGCATCGTGTGTGTGTGTGTGTGTGCGTGTGTGCGTGTGCGTGCGTGTGTGTGAGAGGGTGTTCTGGTGAAGTACGATCTCTGCAGGTCATACAACTATAAAAAGTTGTAGCCTGCAGCCATTTTTACCTGATTTTGCTGGTATAAATTGATATTTTGGTTGATTCAGTGATGCTAAATAATATTTTTTTCAGTATACACATTCCCTATATTCATATGTTGAAACAGACACAATGTATTTTCTGAAAAGTAAAAATAAAAAGACAGGTGCAACAAACTAAATGATGGTGCTTGTCTACAAAAACATGTTATTTTTGTAATTATATTGAGCAATGCAAGTTCCCTCCATACTGTACCGTTAACATCAGCATGAGAAAATCTCCATGGATTTTCAAAGACATAAGCATCGTTCCCATTTCCCATTGTGATCTCAATAAAGTATCCAAACATCTGAGAGCAATTGAAGTGTCTTGTGAAATCCATTCTTCCCTCCAAGCATTGATTTATTATGTGAATTACAAATCTAAATGTTTTTTTTTTTTTAATAAAGAAGACGTGCTTTTGTGCTTTTATTAAAAATCATGAGGTACAGGGTGGAATAACTATGGAATAAAATATGTCTACCGAATCAGGGGAAGAATAATGGCCACCTGAAATCCATTCTTCCCTCCAAGCATTGATTTATTATGTGAATTACAAATCTAAATGTTTTTTTTTTTTTAATAAAGAAGACGTGCTTTTGTGCTTTTATTAAAAATCATGAGGTACAGGGTGGAATAACTATGGAATAAAATATGTCTACATTTTAAATTAAATAGCCTAAGTAAAGTACGTAAAAATATTCAAATAGAAACTTAGTTTACTAAATAATAAAAAATACTGCTGGGGTAGCACATCAGATGAATAACACTTATTTTCTAGTTATTAGGTTAGTTAAGTGCTGTCCAAGAACATTAAAGTACATATTGACACATCATGTTTGAACAAAAAAATATTTTCCCTCATAGAAAAAAAAAAAAAAAAATCTTTCATTTGCTGATGATGGAAAAAACATTGCATGGGACTGCTGAGTGATATTCCTCCAGTAACCTTTTCATCTTAAGACAGAAATCTTTCCTTTTAAACAGTGATTCGTTTGGAGTCGAGCAAGATCAGAAAACGTTCGCTTCATCCAGTGACTCGCATGATTCAACTCTCTATTCCATTCAAACGGTAACTCAAACAGTTCGAACGCGTTCTTCTTGCGAATCGGTTCGATTGATTCCTTTAAAAGAACCACTTCAAACGAACGAGTCGTTCGCGCATGGACGCTGCTCTCGCGATATAAACTTTTCCCGGTTACCTGAGGAAACGAGAGTTTGATTCAAAGTGTAACCCCGTCGACGATAGCAGCCAAAACTCATCCTAATAACTGCAGGTAGAGTAATGCAAAACAGTTACCTTTTATTCTGTGGAGTTTACCGATTAAAAATCCGTTTCTTTATCTATGTTATGGAATACTGGCGATGTTTATGTAATTATTTACCCGTTGTCCGTTAGCTGTGGAAGTATATGCTGCGTGAGGTCAGCTAGCAACAGCAACAAACCAGCTTATTTTTGTCGTAATTTAGCATGGTTGTGTTTAACATTTTTTCAGGTTTATGTGTGGAATTGTGAGAAAAATAAGGTGAATTTAAATAAGAAGATATGTTCAGTGTGTTCTCCAGTTTCGTCCTCCGTGGTGGGATGTTTAGAATCCAGTATACGTCGCAATACCATAGTCATTAATACTGTAAAATCATAGTAACGTTAGAGTAAAATGCGAAATCCGTAAAACCTTACTGCCATCGAGTTAAATTTCTGTTATTTATTACAGAAGAAGCGAACACCAAGTTAAAACATTTTCGGTACTTACACTAAAAGTGGAAAGTGATGTTTTGGTAGGACCTAAATTACTATGGTAATTTTTGTAAAGAATAAATTAATTCAAGGAGCTTGGTTGAGAGAGAAGTAGAAGCAGCAGCAGCAACTGTTTATGTTCTTTTTGGCTGGCATGCATGAAAAATAAATAATTATAATAATTTCAGTAAATGATTTTTCTGCTAAAACTTTAGCAATTGTCAAATGTTTCAAATTCCACATATTTCCATGTGTTAAAAAAATATATATATTTCATTAACAATTTATGTATTATATTTTCATATGCATTAATCATAATTTCTTGACACAATGGCATACAGTAATTGTTTAGTAGGTTACAAAGAAATATTTACAAAACATAAAGATGCATGTATATAAATTGAATTAATGAGCAGTAATTTGTGAATTGCTTAGTGTGTTTTTTGACTGTCCTTTCTGCTTTATTCTTTAGGTTATTTTTATCTTTTTTGGGTGGATCTTGGCTGCATGAAGCAAACCAGAAATGGCATCACCACAAACACTTCAGCCTGTCCTGAAGATGAAGGTCGACGAGCTCTTCCTCTTTTGGTTGAGTGAGCCAAGTACTCAGGCGATGCTAAAAGACTACCTCAACAAAATCAAGAACGGGGAAGAAATAGATCTAAGGCATGCTGATTTCAAGGGCACAAGCACATTGGTATTAACAGAAAACAACAACAACATCTTTGCCTCGAAGATTAATGTGACCGAGAGGATGACTGCGGCCCTTGGTGCTCCGTGCAGCCCTCCTTCAGCAACCCTGCCATCTGCGAGTGGCAGCAATAACAGAGCGGGAGTGAATGCGAGGGCCTTGCGACGCTCTGTCAGCACTAAGAAGGTAAAGCATCTGTGCTTTCACCTGTGCTCCTAAGTTTAAAAAAAAATGTGGGAGAGAAATTAAAATTGATCAAATAATTAATTTTTTTCCTTAATAAAGGAAGACATTTACATGCAAAATTAATTATTACAAAAGTACAACTTTAAAATATTACTGCCTCAAACTGTATTTAATAATTATGTAATTATTTATTGGCCTACATTATTATATTTTTTTTCCATATGTTTCTATATACATTTTGCACACATCTGTTTTTAGTTGCAAATGCACGAGAAAAGCTTACGCTGTTGAGCCCTGATTAGTCTAAAGAAATGTTTTATATTTACTTTAATATTAGACAATCTCAATTCTATTAATCCCTCATTTCACGCAAACATAATCGGATTTATTTTATTTTTCCACTAGTATTTCATGTGGTAAAAAGCATTTGCCAAATGCATTTCTACATGTTAATATAGAAACAGTAGAACATTTCAAGAAATGCTCTCATGTATGATGGTCCTACACGTTTTATTAACAGCCAGTTTACCACTGAGAGAGGGTTAAACCACTTTTTCTCAGTTTAGCCACAAGAGGATGCTGAATGGCTTTTGCATCTTCTGGTCAGTGGATGTAGGGCTCCTGCTCTGGTCAGATGAGCTCTGTGAACCTCTGTGTGTCTTTTGTGTAAAGAAATCGTGTTCATGTGTGGCCAGAGGTGGGCGAATCTCTATGCTGTCAATCCCTGGAATGGTAATGACTCTGTCATCATGCGCTGTCCAGCGATGCTGGTGGACTTTGCTGCTGAGGTTTCAGAGCCCATAAATTGGATTGTGCATGGATATCTTTAATTAAAGGGGTCATATGATGCGATTTAAATTTTTCCTTTCTCTTTGGAGTGTTACAAGCTCTTGGTGCATAAAGAAGATCTGTAAAGTTGCAAAGACTAAAGTCTCAAATCCAAAGAGATATTCTTTATAAAAGTTAAGAGTCAACCACGCCTACCTAAAACGGCTCATTCTAACACGCCCCCACATATCTACGTCACTATGTGGGAAGATTTGCATAACACCGCCCAAATGTTCACGCAAAAAAAGAAGGCGTAACTTTTATTCTCGCTGTAGTATTGTTGCCGCCACCGCCATGTCGTGAACTGCAGGTAGAGTAATGCAAAACAGTTACCTTTTATTCTGTGGAGTTTACCGATTAAAAATCCGTTTCTTTATCTATGTTATGGAATACTGGCGATGTTTATGTAATTATTTACCCGTTGTCCGTTAGCTGTGGAAGTATATGCTGCGTGAGGTCAGCTAGCAACAGCAACAAACCAGCTTATTTTTGTCGTAATTTAGCATGGTTGTGTTTAACATTTTTTCAGGTTTATGTGTGGAATTGTGAGAAAAATAAGGTGAATTTAAATAAGAAGATATGTTCAGTGTGTTCTCCAGTTTCGTCCTCCGTGGTGGGATGTTTAGAATCCAGTATACGTCGCAATACCATAGTCATTAATACTGTAAAATCATAGTAACGTTAGAGTAAAATGCGAAATCCGTAAAACCTTACTGCCATCGAGTTAAATTTCTGTTATTTATTACAGAAGAAGCGAACACCAAGTTAAAACATTTTCGGTACTTACACTAAAAGTGGAAAGTGATGTTTTGGTAGGACCTAAATTACTATGGTAATTTTTGTAAAGAATAAATTAATTCAAGGAGCTTGGTTGAGAGAGAAGTAGCAGCAGCAGCAGCAACTGTTTATGTTCTTTTTGGCTGGCATGCATGAAAAATAAATAATTATAATAATTTCAGTAAATGATTTTTCTGCTAAAACTTTAGCAATTGTCAAATGTTTCAAATTCCACATATTTCCATGTGTTAAAAAAATATATATATTTCATTAACAATTTATGTATTATATTTTCATATGCATTAATCATAATTTCTTGACACAATGGCATACAGTAATTGTTTAGTAGGTTACAAAGAAATATTTACAAAACATAAAGATGCATGTATATAAATTGAATTAATGAGCAGTAATTTGTGAATTGCTTAGTGTGTTTTTTGACTGTCCTTTCTGCTTTATTCTTTAGGTTATTTTTATCTTTTTTGGGTGGATCTTGGCTGCATGAAGCAAACCAGAAATGGCATCACCACAAACACTTCAGCCTGTCCTGAAGATGAAGGTCGACGAGCTCTTCCTCTTTTGGTTGAGTGAGCCAAGTACTCAGGCGATGCTAAAAGACTACCTCAACAAAATCAAGAACGGGGAAGAAATAGATCTAAGGCATGCTGATTTCAAGGGCACAAGCACATTGGTATTAACAGAAAACAACAACAACATCTTTGCCTCGAAGATTAATGTGACCGAGAGGATGACTGCGGCCCTTGGTGCTCCGTGCAGCCCTCCTTCAGCAACCCTGCCATCTGCGAGTGGCAGCAATAACAGAGCGGGAGTGAATGCGAGGGCCTTGCGACGCTCTGTCAGCACTAAGAAGGTAAAGCATCTGTGCTTTCACCTGTGCTCCTAAGTTTAAAAAAAAATGTGGGAGAGAAATTAAAATTGATCAAATAATTAATTTTTTTCCTTAATAAAGGAAGACATTTACATGCAAAATTAATTATTACAAAAGTACAACTTTAAAATATTACTGCCTCAAACTGTATTTAATAATTATGTAATTATTTATTGGCCTACATTATTATTTTTTTTTTCCATATGTTTCTATATACATTTTGCACACATCTGTTTTTAGTTGCAAATGCACGAGAAAAGCTTACGCTGTTGAGCCCTGATTAGTCTAAAGAAATGTTTTATATTTACTTTAATATTAGACAATCTCAATTCTATTAATCCCTCATTTCACGCAAACATAATCGGATTTATTTTATTTTTCCACTAGTATTTCATGTGGTAAAAAGCATTTGCCAAATGCATTTCTACATGTTAATATAGAAACAGTAGAACATTTCAAGAAATGCTCTCATGTATGATGGTCCTACACGTTTTATTAACAGCCAGTTTACCACTGAGAGAGGGTTAAACCACTTTTTCTCAGTTTAGCCACAAGAGGATGCTGAATGGCTTTTGCATCTTCTGGTCAGTGGATGTAGGGCTCCTGCTCTGGTCAGATGAGCTCTGTGAACCTCTGTGTGTCTTTTGTGTAAAGAAATCGTGTTCATGTGTGGCCAGAGGTGGGCGAATCTCTATGCTGTCAATCCCTGGAATGGTAATGACTCTGTCATCATGCGCTGTCCAGCGATGCTGGTGGACTTTGCTGCTGAGGTTTCAGAGCCCATAAATTGGATTGTGCATGGATATCTTTAATTAAAGGGGTCATATGATGCGATTTAAATTTTTCCTTTCTCTTTGGAGTGTTACAAGCTCTTGGTGCATAAAGAAGATCTGTAAAGTTGCAAAGACTAAAGTCTCAAATCCAAAGAGATATTCTTTATAAAAGTTAAGAGTCAACCACGCCTACCTAAAACGGCTCATTCTAACACGCCCCCACATATCTACATCACGATGTGGGAAGATTTGCATAAAGCCGCCCAAATGTCCACCCAAAGAAAGAAGGCGTAACTTTTATTCACGCTGTAGTATTGTTGTTGCC